GGTTGCAGTCCCAGATTATTGCTAGAATATTGATTATTGTTATTTCATATTCCCAGATTATTGATTATTGTTATTTTAGATTATTAGCTCTTTCTGCTTGTTTCAATTTAAAATTTTTAATTTGATTAAAACCACTTATTTCAGATCATTTCTATGCGGAAACCTGTTGAAAGAGCTCGTGTTCGGCTATGTCGACGGCTGATCAGACAAAGGAAATTGCTTCAAAAATCGAAAGACGAAAAGAAAGCTCGCAAAGTAGATCGAATCGCCGAAGAAATCGACCGTTGCAAAGTATTTTATGATTGTAACTTTGTTAACTCATTGTTTGGAATATGTCAAGCGTATTGATATAAGATTTGCAGACAACAATTTTTCATATCAGATATTAATTTGCACTGAATTGTTTCAGAAAGTATGTCGAGACGATGTGTCAAAGTTTGCATTAATAAACCTTAAAGCGCTCAGTGACTTGTTGAAAAAGGTTATTTTTTGTATTTATTGACCATAACATGTGTATATGACTAAGAACAGTACTAACTCTTAGTTGTTTCTCTATCGGCATAAATCAGTTTTATCATTTACTGTTTTCAAGAGTTAACCTCATTCTTTTGAGACATTGATATGTAGCAGCTGGCATGAAGTAAGCTAAGTAGGTATGACTATTATAAAGAGGTTAAAGCAGATTATATCGCAATTTACTATATTTATAGGGTTATCGTAACAAGTAAGATTCACGTTTTATTTGCTAAGCTTGTCATTTCCGTTACCACGATGAGCTGTAATTTCCCCATTCTCTGCTTTAAAAAATAAAAATAAAAATATTCCATACCATTCCATAGATTAAATTTTAATTTTAGACAAAAATTCCCATTGATGAACGAGTGTTATATAAATTGGCATGCCAAGGAACGGTGATAAAATGTGTCGAAGAGTTCCGTATCAAATACCCAAATTGGCAACATGAAGTGTCGTTCCTGTTACAGCGACTTGGTTTGCAATATAAATCTAAGAGGGATGCGAAAAAGTATATGCTACAACAAAATGAAACGAAGGAACTGGTCGAAACGTCTTTAGGAAAAGTAAATTTATTGCTTCAACCTTTTACCATGTCATTATGAAGGTCACATATTTTGCGATGTTTTGGTTTTTCAGTTTATTATTATTATTATTATTTAAGCAGAGTATGCTCGCGATATGACACAAAGATACTTAATTTCAGAAGTGCGTTTCCAGCTTGTTCCCCATACTTTGAATTGTCGTGGTTGGTTCTTGCAACCGGAATATCACCTGTCTTATGACACATAACATTTTCAGAAAATTGAAAATACCCAAGATGTAAAGATGCTTGTTAAAAAAGAAATACGAAAAGCTGTGAAAAAAGAAGAAAATCTTGAAAAAAAAAGAAGAAAGATAGGGTGAAATCCGATGAATCTAACGAGATACCTGCCCCAGTTATCAGCTTGCCAAAGTTGGAACTTCCGAAATCAGTGATTGCTAAGGGACAGGTAAATTTATAAGAAGTTTGTTCTTATTTCTACTGAATCTAAAAAGCATTATCAGTTAATGAGATCAATAAAGAACTTCATATTTCATGCAGTGGGAAATGTACTTGGAATGAAAGTTGAGAATCAGGAACCGGTGAATTGGAAGGACTTGACTGGGAATTAGATTTCGTTCCATGAAATTCCTGATAATTGCTGCAAAAATTATTCTACTCATTATTGATTTAAGTTTATGTTCAAGATTATATTCCACTTCTCGTAGTTGCTTTGTTTCTTTCAGGCTGTCATCAAATTGTTGAACTTAGACGGTAATCAAGACGACGAATTTCCATCAGTTAGCGCACCAGATAAAAGCAAAGGTTGGAATTTAAGATCTTTTCTGTTTTGATAAGTTTCTTGGATTTGCAACTATATATTGCGAATTTCAGATGTTACATTACAAGGAAATACCGAAGAGAATACTAGTATCGGGAATGATGAAGCTATTAGAAGCATTCTGCCAGTAAAAACAAGGGATGTTCAAAAAAGAAAAAGGGATTTTGAATACGAAGGAAGTGAGAAACGAGGGAATGATGTGAGACAGGATAGGTCTGGAGCTGTGTTATCTTCAAAAGGTTACAGCAAACAATTTATGTAACATTATAAATTTCATATGAACGGATGTCCAAATAGATTTCTGTATATTAAATCTAACAGATGAGTTTAACCACTATTTCCACAGTTTGCATTTCGACATTGTTACTATTACTTGATGGAAGCTATAGCTAGGATAGGGAAGGAAAGCTTATATTTGAAAACATTGTTCAAGATCCAGTAGATTGCTTATTTTAAGTTTAGTCTCTAGTCTTTTCAAAGTTTAAAATCAGAAATTTTTTGCCCATATCCTGAGATATCTCATTTTCCAGCTCTCCCAATTAAAGGCATCGAGGAGAGAATAAAGTCTTTTCCTTCTTCTTTCACAGTTTTTTGCTTTCTAGGTTTCAAAATTTATTTCTTTGTAACTTATTTTGTGTTCAATGACTAATATTTTAGAAGTTTTGGGGAATACGATGGAATTGCTAGGAAATCAGAACTTGCATCCATCGTGGATCGCCAAAAAGCAAGAACATGAAGCTCTGAAGAAGTTAAAGGCATCATGCAAAGGGAAAAGGATTGTCTTCAATGATGATTAAAGTGTTCCGGATTGTTTTTATTTTCTTATGATAAATACTTTACTGTATTTCTCTGACAAAGTAAAAAATGGAGCTCCAACTGCATTAATAAATGAAAAGAAAAATAGCAGAAAGATGGTTCTTTTGATGTATAAAGGTATGATAATCATTAGTCCAAAAAATAATAAATAAGCAATCCTGAGCATTTCTGGTTCCAGGATTACAATCATTCTTTATCACCAACCAAGTATATAAATAATTGGGAGTTGGAAAGAGAGCAAACTAATATGCTTAATATGGAGTTAAAAAAAGAAAAAATGAAACATGATGCAGTGAAGAAATTAAAAACATCATGCAAAAGGAAACGGATTGTCTTCAATGATAATTGAAGTATTCAATATGTTTTCTTTCTTTTTCCTTTTTTGTAATAAATAACTTCGCTGTATTCTCTCTTTAAATTCATAAAAGTATTCTCTCTTGTATTCTCTCTTTAAATTCATAAAAGTGAAAAAAATGAAATACCTCATTTCACCTTTACAAAGAATTGATATACTTAACCACAAGGAGAACAAATTGCTGAAAAACAAGAAAATCGATTGAGCAGAATTTCTTGAAAGAAAAAAAAAAGTGGACTAATTGGAGCAGATTATTTCTTCAAATTTGAACCAACAGTGATTAAGGAGCTAACAAATGGATTTCGGCTTATCAGCACATCAGTTAGCTATACTATGGCTAGAAGCTATATTCTGTGGGATGTAAAAAATCACTTGAATTATATCGTATTCAGCTATCAATTCATGCAACAATAATGTCTCTAATTCAAAATGACTGCATCAATATTACTCAGTTTTTGACTGGTGACAAATGAGTCATCAGATGGATGGAGATTAATTAGTAATGCAACAATTCTAGAAAAGTACACACAAAAAAGGAGAAAAATATGGTATAGAATGGCTATGGATAGATGCCGAAATTTAAATGCCATTCAATTTTGGATTTTATTTA